CCACTACGTACACAAGGGATGTTGGAGAGCTTGTAAAAAACTATTTTAGGCGTGGGAAACAGAGCTTGGGGTTCGCAGTATTTATACCAGGAGCGCACAGCTCTATAAGGGGTGGATTTGATCCCGTTCTGGAGCAAGGAAACAATGTCACATTGTATACGCTTTTAAAAAAAAATATTTAGTTTTTATTCATAATAAAATATAAGTAGTTTTCTAAAATGACTTAACTACAACATTACCTTTTCCACACTATTAGTAAGGACCTGTCTTAGAACATAATTAATGCTGTATACATTAAATTGTGTTGTAAATGTTGTAAACATTACTTAAAACTTCTATCGATTGTTGATCTGTCACTAATGTATTTATGTATATGTATATGATATGATAAATAGTCTTTGGGATCGAAGGCATATCTTTAAAACAATACTCACCAAATGTAGCAAGGAGCTACAGGGCAAAAACTAAGCAGAGTTTTGATTTGTCATAAACACGATAATTGTTAACTTTTGGCATGTCGGTCGCCATTTTGACAAATATTTTTCTGGCCTGATATACACTGCTTAATTTCGACCTTCGCTGAAAAGTACTTTCTAAATATTATCGTAGGTTGCTTTGATGACAACGGCACAAAAGTTTTTAAATCCGAGCCGAGTTTTTTATATTTTTTAGGTCATGCAACGAATTGACTCTTCATTGGCCATGTTTTGTGGTGGCTCAGCGGATCGCTAACGCTGCGCTAGACCTCAAATTAAAACCACGGATTTAGAGCAAGTTTATTTTTTATAACGACAGGGCGTGCCCTTGACATTTATTTTGTGTCAAATGTCATCTGGCGATAATTATTGTGCACGTTCAAACGACAGATTAAAAATATTGCAACACATCTTATTTTTACATTTCATCATCATTGACATACATGGGTATTATCTATAGCAAGTACGGCGACTAGAATTTTATTTCCTACATGGTCAAACGCGGAAGTCACGTTTCTTCGGTACCCTTAACACTAGGAGCACAAAAATTTGAAAGAGATCTTTTCAAACACCTTATAGAGTACAAAATCGGCGCGTTAAGAACGTTCATAGTTAATATTATTCGATGTCTTATTCTCGTTATTAAATACATTAAATCAAATACTGCGATTCATATAGCGTTATCAATACGGTTTATTAAAAATAATTTAAAAGGGTTTCTAATAAGTAAGAACAGATGCTTTGTAGGAAAGATTTCTTTGCCTCTGTACAGCCGGGCCATTCATCTCCACTACCAAGTAATTACAGTACTGATTAAAGTAACAATAAAAATCGACAGAGTATCGATCAAGCGCACGGCTGACCGCGAAACCTTGATTTTAAAACATCGCCTCGCTTTTATGGCCTCCTAATACCTTCCTTACATTATGCCTGTATCTATGTCACTTACAAGATTGCTCTGTGTGTGGTGGATAGATTTCATATTTGACAAAATTTTAACTTTTATACTATCGTCCGGGACGCTAAAATATATCCTCCCCATGCCCCACATCGTCGACTTCACGACGAAAAGCCTTGGTACACGAGACGATCTTCCTCTGCTTTAAGGGTTTCCCAAGATTCTGGTAGTCTCACTTATTAAGTAATAATCGAATTAAAATTGTGGGGAGTAGATTGCACGTCCTATAAGGGGTAACATGATTTACAAACAGGGAGTTGTTTATATTTACCGTAAACCTATAATAATGCCATAGTATCCAAATATGTTTGTCTAAAAAATCTAACCATAAAATCGTAAAAAGCAAAAATTTTCACACAAATTTCGCAAACAAAATTGAATTGAAAAAATATCCAATCAACTTATGTAACTTGGCAACGAGCGGGTTTTCTCATCAGGAAATCTACGATATTTCTATATTGTTCGTCTACGATATGAAATTCTCACATAGTCTAAACAGTAGTTATAAAAATAATAAAACTAAGTTCACAGATGAAGGTTTATCTATTATTTTATTCTTATTATTTTATATAAAAAAAATTGACTTAATCGGTCTAATGGTGGCAATGTTTGACTGAGGATCAATGCTTCGTGGATTCGATCCCCACCAGGTCCATCGTGTTTCTAATTTTTCAATTCATAACTTCTTAAGCATGCTGGACTTCGTCTGGAAATCAGAATATTAAATGGTTGGAAGGAATATAGAAATTCCTTCCGTGTCACGCACCAGCATCCATAGATGAAAAAGCCGTGAAGCTTAATCGCATTTTAAAGCCAAAATATGCCTGGGGTATATCACATTCCATCAAGTGACTCCATGCCATATCTGTCCTTCTCTATCATTAATAAAAAAAGCAATAAATTACATCGAAAACACAAAACTGACAAGAAACTTAGCACTACACTTTAATATCGCGATGTTTTTATTTTACAAAAAGACAGGTTTTAATTGTCCTTAAGTAATAAAGTAAATTTGATAAAATAAATAAAGCTAAACAGATTTATTAAAGAATGTTCAAACTGAAACGGTTTTAGGAGCCCGACTGTTTGTTCTTTTCGGTATTATATTAGTACATACCTGTCCTTATAGTTTTGAAATCTATCAAAGAGTTGGGGGGGGGGTATTTGGGCAGAAGAATGCCACTCCATTGCCAGTACATGCGGTTCAAGGTTGGCGCCAGTAACCTACTTTCAAAGGTTTCTTTGCCCGCGACACCAACGGCACACATTACACGTCCTGATTACTCTATTACAAATGTAATGCTCCATTTTATAAGCTAATTCGAAAATAATTCATATGATTTTCAGCCTAATAAATTCGAAAACCCTTCTACTTATCAAATATATTCTCAATTAGAGAGAAATTAAGAGAGATGTGTTTATGCCTATATAGGTTTAACTAAATAGACTAAGGAGTTATCCAGAGTAATTTCTATTTTATAGAACACTTTTAACGGTATAAAACCTTAAATACATGAGTTATAAGAGAGATAACTTTATACTGTCTGTAGTTTAGGCAAGTAGTACACATATAAACAAAACACTTTAACGGTTTAAAACGCGATACGTATTAGTTAAACTTATTTAAAAATCACCACCAAGTGACCACGGCTGCTGCAAAGCATCCGAAACGTTGTACCGTAGTTAAACCGTTAAAGTGTTTTATTTAAATAGTTATTTTTATTTTAAGTATGACCCGACGTTTCGGGTACTCCTCAACGCTGATGTATGTCTTTCAGTTATTTTTTATATCCATGTGGTTTTTTTACTGTGCGTGACATATTTTTCTAGAGAGAAAACATTCTTAGTCGATAGATATTGTCATCGTTCACCAGGGATCGATGTGTATTAGGGGTTGCTAACCGATTGTTTAACAATTGAAAATGAACTACTAAAGTTCCTCCGAACCTAGTACTTTAGCAGTCAACCGTGAAAGCCTTTCGGAACAAAAAATATTTAATGCAAAGTGGGGCTTCCGACGAGCATTTTTAATTAGTCTTTTTGGTACGCCACCGCCACTATCATTATAAGCCCCTTTAACTTTTCACAGGTCCTCCTTTAAAGTGGTACTTTTACGGTCAAGTCAGTACATAACGAAATTTCACGGCTAGACTTTTATGAACCTGAACCTTTCCGACTCTAGTAACTGTTACTTGGTAGTCTACTGCAGAAAACGAGGTTTCGGCATCTTATCCTGAGTGGGGCGAAATGTTAGTAAGGTATTTAGAATATTTTTAAGGAAATATTCATAAATAAGGTAGCTTATATGTTTCGCGTTTTAAACCGTTAAAAGTTACTTACAATTACTTATAACTTAAATTGCATTGTATAATTCCTTAATTATGTATGGTCGATACATTATATTATGCATTATACGTTGTAAAATATTGTGTTTTGTAGAAAGTATTTAAGAGTAAACATAATAATATCGTTATTTCGATGCTTTTTACTTAGTTTTACTTAAGTACATATATACAAAAACAATATGAAATATGTAACACGCCATCTGTTAAATTATTCTTGAACTAATAGAAACCCTTGAAGCGTAACAAAATATAAATATTTATCAAGAAATAAACCATTTTGAATCGCGTGACATTGATTTTGGTTCAGGTAAAAGTTACGTCTTTGATTATTTACAGCGCCATCTAGCTTTATAGTATAACACTAAATTGACATAGAACTTATTTTTAAATTTCTGTGAAATTTGTGAAATTGTTATCCACAAAAGTAACCAAAAATTATGAAGAACATATCCACAAAAAGAATTTTATTTGTAACGCTAGATGTCGCTAGCTCCTTCATATTTTTCAAACAGGCTGTATGTTAAGGACCAAGAGAGCTAGAGAGTAAATATTAACAAAATGTATATTTCTGTTACAACTATGACAACACATAAAGAACGCAACCTGGATAAAGGGGAAAATAAATAAATACTAAGGGAGGTTTCCTTTTAAAGGTTTGCTTAAAATAACTAAAACATTTTTCCAATATGAAATTCCTAGTCATTGGTATGGAACCGTTCTTTTAAGAGTTTGGCCTTTATTCGTTTTTTTTTCACACAGTCGCAGCACTTGTCCCTCTGTACTAATTACAAATACTTTATATAAAGTCTTCAATCAACACGAATAATATTGTTTATACGATAATACCTCCTCTTTTTCCTAATTGCTAAAACATCGCATTTTGTAGTCTTAATATGATTGATCGGCATAAATATGAATAAATGAATAGGTGTAATGTTATTTAAAACTTTATTTTACTTTCCAAAGTACTATATTAGATCGCAAACAATTTACTTAAAAAACAAGAGCCTTAGAAAATTAGAAATTTATTATATTTTTATATTTTGAAAAAAATTACGACACGGGCTGACAGACTATTTATACAGTGCCATCATATGCAGTAGTAACATGTGAAAAGTATTAACGATTTTAAGCTCAGAAACTAATCGATTGTAAGTAAAGAGTACATAAAGTGTACATTAAATACATTCCATGAACTTTAAATCTTATTTAAAAACAATTTTAATCTAAGCTCCGCCACTCAATCATCAGTTCACATTCTAAATCGTAACTCCTCAACTCGTCTATTTCTAGTACCACCACTTCCACATCATCAGGGCACTGGGCTTCGTCAAAATCTGGATGCTCATCATAATATTCTACAGAACTGAACTGATAGTCATGCACGCGTCTAGATTCTTTTGTAACATTGTGAGCTACAGTTGTCGCTGTATCTTTGTTTGCAGCATTCATCTTAGTCTGCTTCTTTGTCTCATTCTTATCCACTGTTGTAAATTTAGTATTTTGCTTGCTTATATTTCCATCATCAGCATTAATTGTTTTGCTCCCAGATATGTTACCGGCTTTTTTGTCTTTATTTGCATGCTCAATTAAGTCACTTTTAATAGTTGCGTTCTTCACTTTATTATTATCACCTATTAATACGTCTTGTTTTACTATTTGTTTGTTTTCTTTAATACACATATTTTCAATCAAATCACTCTCTTTAAAAGGCAACGGGTCACTAGAGACAAATTCAATAAGCGCAGCGTCTTTCTGTTTTTTATATTTTGCAGAATTATCTTCGCAAACCTCGTGAAAGTTTGTACTCTTCAATTTCGATACATGCCAGTCCTTCTGTAGATTCTTCATAACTGTGTCCTTTTTATCCTCGTTCACTTCGCAAACAATAATTTTAAATGTGAAAATGAATACAAATATTATCAGTCTCATTTTAAAAGCCTTTATTCATATGCCCGTCTGGTTCAGTAGTGATTTATTAATTAAAAGAAATTATGGTCAACAGCGCGTTAAATAAACAAAACGCATATTGTAGTGATAAACCTAGTTTGTTTGACGAACTTGAAATGAGATTATAATGAATTAAAATTATGGTAATAATTAAAACCAACGTAAGTTAGTCGATAACGTTTTTTCTTCTATGAAAAATATAAACATCATAATTAATTTAACTAAATGAGTATTTTTTTAATAAAATAATACGTAACATTACATAGGATTCGATATTTTGTTTACTACAGCAGTGTACATTATTACTTATCAACATTTACCACCAACCCATTTTCAAAAACAATTGCTTAGAACTTAAATAATGTATTTATAAAACAGTATTCAACTCTACATGATGAGATTGTCGACAGAATACTGTAGACTGTAAAAATTAAAATATTCAATGTTGCTTCTGCGCTTCTATAAGCTATTTCATTTATTTCAGATAGAATTAAAATCATTACACAAACAAATATAATAACAATAATTACTTATAAGTTAGTCATATACGAAGGGACACTCACTCTTGTTCTTGGAAGTAAGCAACACGACGATTTTAATACATCAATCTTAGATAAGATAATCAAATAGTTAATAATATTGCATGCACGCTTAATTGTCAATGTTGTCAATGTACCCCACATTGACAACATTGACAATTAAGCGTCAACAAAAAAGATTGAAAGCTAGTTGTATACCTATTGGTGATTTTAGCATCAGCCTACATTACACCCCGACGACCGATTCACTTCAAAGTAATGCTCACCTATTATATAAGTGACTCTCTAATAACCAAACAATATATCTAAATTATCTAAACCGCCACTCTAATAAGATAATAACAGTTTACAAGAAAATGTCGAGATCAGAGGTCGTTATCAAAACACTAACTAATCCATTCATTCGCAAACCGCCCTTGATGGCAGAAAACACTTCAATTAGCCAACCCCTCCCACAGAATCAAAACAGCCCAATTACCTCACAGCACGACCCCTTTAATGACCCTCCGGCTCCTAATAACGATATAACCACCACAATTTTTCATTCGCCCTGAAATTAGCATTTCGTTTGAATAAATTGGAAATTAATTCGACATTCAAAACCTTGGAATGGACAACACTAAGTTGCTAAAAAGCGCTTTCTTTTTAAATTAAATACTTTGACGGTTTGACGCGATATATATTAGTTAATCTTGTTTGAAAATTATTTAAACAACAGCTAGACATTTCGAAAGCTTTGCAGCCGTATTCACGGAGACACGCATATGGCGTTAAAGTGTTTTATTCAAATATGTACTACTCGCGTAAACTGCAGACAGTAAGTAATTAGAGCTTTATTTGTTGACAATTTTTTAGACGTTTTACATCGTGTCACTTATTATATGTTCTAAAATAAACAGCTTAAGTAAACAAAGAGACAAATATTATTATAGAGATCAGCCAGATAGAGAAAAAGCCTGCAGAAATTTGTTTTAAGCCACAATTAACTTTAGTAACTATTCTTGTATAGCTACCGTTAAAAGTATGCACAGTGTTTTATATTAAACAATGGAGAGATAAACTAGACCAATAAAACTCACAATTCTATAAAGGAATTACATTTCACGCTGTGCCAGCGACTTCGACCGCGTAGAATAGTTATTTTGGCCGAAAAGCCTCAAAAAAAAAACACTTTTTTCGTTTTTTCCATATTTTTTCTCTGTTACTTCGCTCTTATTAGCCCCAGCTTAATGTTTTATATCCTTCAAACAAACAAACAAACTTTTCAGCTTTACAATATTGGTATAGATAATATATTTTCATTATTTATTACAATTATACGTATAATTTTACCATTTTTTTAGCTATGGTCGAAGGTGAATGTAAATACAGAAGTTTGCAAGCAAACCGCTTGAAACAATGGCAGGGTTGTTTTCGTTAAGAACTTTGTAAGAGATGCAAATTGTCACTGGCTGGCAGCGACGTTGCGAAATGGCGTCGAGTCATTTGCATAATCCGTGGTTAGCCCCGTGATTGTTGCAATTTGGCGGGCTTTAAGTGAGTTTTTAATCTATGGTTCATCCTAAGAAGGTTTAAACTAGAATTTACTAAAGATTTATATCTCTTTTGTCCATTACAAAAAAATCTGTCAATAAACTTATAACCACCGTTTTCTATTTACCATATTAGTGAAATAGAGGTATATAATATAAATTTAAGATTAATATTAATTATAGTGTTTGTATTATTAAAACTAAAATAGTGAATTCAGGCAACAAACCGGTAGTAAAAACCAGGGATATTTTATTCCTTGGAACTCCCTCTTCTAAAATGACGTGATATTCTTCTAAAATCAATCTACGTATAACTATCCGTTTCGTAATTTTAAAATACGCAGCTGATTTATATGCTTTAGAAGAATTGTGTAGATATTAATTAAATATTTGTATCTATTTTGCTCTCTATAAATTTAATTTATGAATCACTAATTCTCAAATTCGATTTACCTAGTAAAATGATTCTGCACACAAATTTTATGAGGTTAAAAAGAAGTAACGAAAACATTAAATGTTTAATCTTTATTACATTCTAAATATAATTAATACAAATGTACATTAAAGGTACAGTGAAATATTACGAACATAACAAAACTATTTTCGGAAATAAACTTATTGCGTATAATGTAATGAGTATAATATTAAATGAGATCTTTGGACGGCAACTAAATATAATACGTGAAAATTGTACATTACCTATTTACAGTTGTACATTACAAAAAGAAAATATTTGTTGATTCGATTTATCACTAGGGTACAGTAATACTTATTGCACTTTTTTCTCGTAACAACATAGTTGAGAAAATAAAACAATGAAACATTAATACTAAACCTTATAAAATATTTATCTACAGAAATTCTACAACCATCTACAAACTTTGAATAAAACAAAATAAGGATCTCCATGATGATTATAGGTACATACGGCTGTATGGCTCTCCAAAACAAGATACTTATGCATATATCTTGGCTGCTATATAGGATACGTAAAGGAGTACGTATGACCAAATGCACGAAAAAATAACATTCTAACACGTATTATTCTATCCCACTTGCTAGTACTAACCTTTACCGTTCTTCTTTACAGGTTGAAGTACTGTTTTATGAATAAAAATGAAGTTATAAAGTATCTTCCCTCTTATGTTTTAATCTACAAACTATTTGAATTCATCGCTTTCTAACTGTGTTTCACAGATGGCAGTGCATGTACGCTGGGTAGGGGGGTAGAAGCGCACACGCAAGAGGGAGTGAATGCGTCAATTCTCGTTCACCACTTGCTGCTTGCGCTCGCAACTGCTCCAAGCGCAGTTGGTTTTGACGTTTCCACTTTGTCCTGGATGAAGACAAAATTCAGAATATTAAAAAAAAGTTAAAACACGTGACGTCACGTGGTCTGAGGTGGCGTGAAGTGGCGTGGGCGTGAGCAGTGGTAAAACCAATAGTCATCGTTTGCGCGCGATCGAAAGACACACTTTTTTCATGGGTTTTCGTGATAGACAATTCTTTATTAACTAGACTATCTCATACCCCCTTCATTGCCCCATACCCCATTTGTGGACAATGTGTGTCTAGAAAAAAAGAATCTGCGAAAACGGTGGAGACTTTTAACAAGATACCTTTGATGAGCTGTGTAAAATTGTTTACTTACCTCCTATTCTGATACCAGGTCTTAACTTGAGTCTCGCTGAGATTAAGGGCATCTGCTACATCACCTCGGTCTGCTACGCTCAAGTACTTTTGGCATCTGAACTTCCTCTCAAGGTAAGCAAGTTGCGCGTGTGTAAAAGCAGTGCGCCGTCGACGTGGCTTGCGACCCGAACTAGCAGTGCTTCGATTTTGAGGCTGACGATCTAGAACATGAAGATTGATTAGTACAACACAAACACAATGCAAAAGCACATGAAAATCCACCATTTTGTAGGTGTAATGGTAGCAGTGTATGACTTATAATCAACTGGTCGTTCTTTCGATCCATACGGGAGTTAACAAGTTTCTAATCCATTTATAATTTTTCTGAAACATGTTGGAATGCATCTGGATATTGAATGAGTGGTATTAGTGGTGGTAACGAACCACCGTCCACAGAGGATATACGCGTTTCGGTTCAATCTGTGGATTACCGAACAACCGTTGACAGTGCATCTTATTGACATTTTATCTGGTTGGGGTAATTCACCTTCCATCAAGTGTACTGTCCTCCTCTATCATAAAATTATAAAACTAGTTTAAAATATAATTTTAATAATAGAGAATTAAAGTTATAATAATAGAGACTATATTACTGTGCACTTAAGCTGTACACTTTCTGAACAAAACAAATATATTTAATCTGTATTCGAATATATGTAGTGTGTAACTAGGTAAGCCAAAAAGTATTTGTTTTTTTTTTTGTTTAATTATCTTTATCTAATATTATAAGTTTGTGTGTGTTTGTTTGAACGCGCTAACCTCAAGAACTATTGGTTCGAATTGAAAAATTATTTTTGTGTTGAGTTGGAAGTTATAATGTATAGCATCAGGCTGCTGCGACCATTAGGAATGAAAACTGAGGGAAATGTGGAAAAAACGGAGAATAATTAATTAACCAAAAGTAAAAAAAATAACAAAATATTGTTCTTGAAAGGATCTAAAAAATGTCCGCGACAGTATACCTAGTATACTAGTCTTTAAGATTAACTTACAAGAAAGACGGGACGCGTATGACGTCTAGAGTATCAGCTATCATTAATAAACTTGAGGAAGTTCTTTGCAAAAAAAACACGATATTAGTAACTATTCTACGTAGCTGAAGTTGTGTGCATAGTTTGTTTTATTATATAATATATATACCCGAAGAATCCTGTCCTTCATTTTGAGATCCACCAGCGATTACAGACGCCGCAAACCCGGCTAGTAATTGAGATTGGAACGTCGATTTCGAAAGATCCATCGACCGGCCATAGATACTATCTGATATTGAGCTTGTCATTGGAAATTCACCGTCCTCCTTTCTCTCTCGATATAAATGGAACAGCGATGTGTCATACATCTTCACCGCTTCGTCTCTGTCGTACTCATTCTCGTCTTCTTTAAACGGAGAATTGAAATTTGAATTTGGTATTCGATTAGTGTTGTACTCGATCTGAAAGTCATCGGTGTCTGTTGTTTTTGCTTTGTCCTTTCGTTCATTGTCGTAGGGGTATTGGTTCTTTGGAGAAGAGGTTTCTGACCGATTGTCACCGACTGAAATGTCATCTTCGGAGTTCTCCAGGTTCTGTGTCACTGAGTCGCATCGGCTTGTGCTTTCTTCTTCGTCTTGAGGTTTGCCTGAAGTATAATATAATTTGATTTGTTTGATCGCAACATACACAGAAATAATTTGTACTAATTCAAAGAATAGAGACGTGCAAAATATAATAATATAGTGGTTATAATATATAATAATATTTGAAATGCGCATATTCAAACTTTTCCGAAATCTATGATATTTTAATGAAAAGTTGAAACCACTAATAATAAAACTATAAAATTTATTCCTTTTAGTAATAATAATTGTAATTAATTACTAAAGGCGATAATAAGACGATTGTTCGTTCGACGCCCTTGATTTGAGAACTGATAGTAAATGTAAAGTTAGCTTACTTAGTTTTGTGACGTTCATAAGTAAATAAAACCTACGTAAATAAATGATTTTTGACTTTGACTTTGATAAATTGGTGGTACGTGTTTGTCAGAATATAATAAGGCTTTGTAAGAAGAATTCACACAATGTAGATATACCTACCTATACCGTATAATTAGGATAATGATTAAGCAAGTTGTTTATTAGACCTGAAAAATGTATTAACCAATAGATGTGCACGTGTGATCAAGAGCCGTACGTCAATATAAATACTAAAATTATTTTAATGTTATAAATTACAATGTAAACGAAGAGAGAAATTTTGCAAAATTAACACTATTTACGGTTGTCACGTAAAAAAATAGTGAATTAATATTTCAACTACCACTTGTCATTTCAGATGCTTTTCGGCAGCGGCACCTTCGCTAGAAATATATAGATAATATTCGCATTTTAAACCGTCAAGTCGAGACGTATAATAAATCTACGTATCGTTTAATGAATACAACAGTATGTATATAACGATACGTAGTCGTATAACATTTTTTTATAACGGTAACCCAATACGTAAGCCGCGGCATTATGAAAAGCAATTAAGTCTTAGGAAACGCAGCGCAAACTAAGACTTGACACTTAGTCAAGTCAAAACCTCGTACAAAGGCGAGACCTCATAAAGACCTATAAAAAAGAACGACCATAGACACGAGTTTCTGCTCTAATTAATGCCTCGGGGCGTTCCGTTTCACCCTCGAATGAACGAATGAAACGTTAGCGCGGGAAATCTTGTCTATGGCGTTTGTGTCTTTTAATTTGCATGAAAATGCTGAAGAGTGGGCATTCACTCCGGGTCGCTTTTCATAGCTAAATCGTACCGTCAGTAATGGCGTATGCCGATTACTTGTTATATATAGTATGAAGAATTTGAGGAGGCACATAGGGCTGTGAAAAACTTTAGAATTAATATTCTTTAAATATCATATTTTTGAATTTAAATTTACGAGTTAAAATTTACTTTAATTTTAATTGTTTAAAGCACTCCTTCTGTCTATTACACAAGTTTCAGCCGAATAACTATACGAAAACACAAAAACCAACAATCTGCATATGGAAAAACACAATATCTCCCCGTGACCTGCTGCGAAGCATCCGAAACGTCGGGCCGTAGTTAGAAATAATTCTCAAAAAAGTTTAACTAAAATACATCACGTTTATACCGTTAAAGTGTTTTATTTAAAAACACAATACTTAGGGCATAGTTGAACAATAGTGAGACAACCTAACATCTTCCTCAGAGGGGAAATAGGGAAATGTTGTATGTGGACTAACTCAGTCCTTTATTAAAGGCTATATATTGTATTAAAATAATAATAAATAAACGTGTATATATTTAATATACAATTAATAACTAAGTAGAATATCAGTTGTCATGAACTTAAAAGAAGATTGTTTATTTCTCTTCAAACACAGCACAGTTGGCAGCCCTACCGCTTCGTCAAGTGTTTCTCGTTATAATTTTTGCATAAATATGTTTTAGCGGTTCTGAAGCCTGTTTACACGTGAACTCCCCCAACCAAAACATCGTTCTGAATCTATCTTTTGTAAGCATCAACGAGTTTCGGACGAAATCATGCTCCGCGCTCATTAAGGATTCGAGAGAATAAGGTTACCGCTTCGGGAAACTGAAAAGCACTTTTTGCTTGTATGAACGGTCTTTTCCACTTAAAACATCTATTTCACTTATAAAACAATTCCAGTTGTATGTCTACCATCGCTTACTTTTATATATGTATGCGTGATCCAGTTATAAGAATATACCACGAAGTTATCGTGATAATTATAAGCGTATTCGCAAACAAATCTGAAAATATAATTTTGAGTACAGCGCGACGAGAAATGAGCATGTCTTTTGCAATTCAAATGTTTCCTCCCCTAGACAATGTCACAGTCACCAATAATGCAGCGATGTAATAACCAAAAGATCAATTTGCTTGTTCATACTATTTTTCTTGTCAGCATGCAATCTTTTCTATAACAGAACAGAACAGACTAGAACGGAGTTTACTTGATGGAAGGTAACATACACCATTTCTATAACACCTAAATATGATGCGATTTAAACTTAATTTGGCTTTGAATATTTAACACTTTACTTCTTCCGTCGGTGGAGTGGTTCGTGGCCAAAACGAAATTTCGGTATGTCTATTATCCAATTAACTCTCCATGTTTTCACACGCAGTCATGTTTTAGAAAACATATGAATTGATTTTGGAAACATGTTGAGCCCGAACTAAACCCAGCGCCCGTTGATCATTCGCCGTACACCAACGGGTACGGGATTTATCCAAGGAACCCGTATAATATAAAATTAACGCATAGAAACTCTATTATTTAACTAGCTCTAGCCGTTTTTCATTACTCCAGTAGTCATTTTGTAGTATTCTTATAAAAAGAAAGTAATTCGCCGTTACGTGTATTTTGTAATAACGAGCAAACGCAACACGTCTTATGACTTATGACTTCATAATTCGGTCCTGTATAAGAGAGTAAGACTTTCTTTGTTTTTTTTATAATATATGAACTAAATATAATAATAATTAATATGCTAATCGATATATTAAGATAATAATTCCATTGAAACCGTTGAATATTTTATTTTTTTACAAACGAACGAATGAGCTTATATAAATTGAAAAGCAATTATCTAACAAAAAAATGAGCACAAATTGTAACATAGTAGCTTATTAGTAATTAGACATAAAATCGATATTTTTATCGTATTAACAAAGTAAAATAGATTAAAAAAAGTAATTATATACATTTACATTTCATGTTTCTCTTTTACTTGTGAACATATATAATTGACTGATGTGTTATTTTTTAGCTCAATCTTAAAAACTCTAAAAAATAATTTACTAATATTCTATACAATACGATCTTCCTGTATCATCGGCAATAGATCTGTAGGGCTACATAAAAGAACGGGCGCCTTTTTAGATATACAAACAATTAATCAATAAAGGGAGTATAAAGAAGCCCGAATGGATTGTCAGTAATTGCTGTGCAAAGTGCTGCATATGCTCTCGAGCTCAGCATGCTGCCTCTCAGTCGTACACGTGCCAGACACGTGCTGCACTTGACTCACCATAGACAAATTATTTATTCTAGAGGTGGACATTGGTTATTGCTACTGTGCTTTAGAAGAATTGAAGAATTCTGTGCCTAAGGATGCAATTAAAGGTATTTGTTTAAATAACTGCGAATTCAAAATACCATTCCCCTGGCAATCACATCTTTTCTAATATCAAGTGGATTTTTTTGTAGCCAATATTTTTTTCGTAGAGTACTATAGTAACGGTTGCTTTTACTATAATATAATTTTCCCCATCCATTAATAATTAATTGCCAGTCTTTTGTTTGTCTTTTATTAATAAGTGAGAATTTAAGATAATGCTTGAGCATACGACGAGTATTGTGGGTGTTTTTTAGTTAAGATTCGGCGAATATTAAATAAAAAACATTAATTTAAAAGTTGTACAACGCGAAATATATTAATGAAACTCTTTTAAATGTATTTTAATCACGTTTCGGCGTTTTGGATGCTTTGAAGCAGCCAATGCAGTGGTGATGGTTGGTTTTCTAGTTAAGTTAGTGACAACATTCGATATTGTGTATGTTTTTTGTATATTTCTTTGTGAATTGTTTTCGGTAGCTCAACTGTCAAAGGCGCTACTTGCCATTGTAAAACACTGATCATTGATTCCAATTCCGGGGAAACATTGTAATAATAATAATTTACATATAAGTTAAATAAATGTATAACAATAACGGGAATACATTTAAAACATTATATTTTTCACATGTTATTGCACATGAAGGCACTATATAATTTAAAAATCGAAAATAAATTGAAAAAAATTTCGACTCGGGCAGGACTTGAACCGGCATCGTCAGCTTTCCGTGCTGTTGCTCTACCAATTTATTTTCGATTTTTAAATTAACGGGAATACATGTTTTCTGTCGATTTGGGCACAATGGTCTAAAATATATCTGCTATACGAGGCTGTATTAAATCGTTTATTAAACAGACCCAAGAAGACACGAGATTTCAAATATTTTATTACACGTTTACAACATTCTTTAACTGTACTAATTAATTATATGTATGTCACATATATATAAGTATGTCACAGCATTTGAATAACATTTTCGCATCGACTCAATGATATTACAGACAATAAAACACACTCACGCAAACCCCAAATGTAAAATTGATCCGCGAATGAAAGTTTAAATAAGACATTATCGTTCAATTGTTCAATTTGTAAGGGAATGGGGTATTGTGGGTCTGTTTCAAGTTATTATACGTCTCATTGTCGAGGGTTGATCTGACTGCGTAATAACCTGCTAACGATTCTACTGCGATTAACTATTTTTGATACTTAAAAAAGAGAAATGCCGTGTTCCACTGTGTGGCTGGGAACCATTTCTGTTTCATTTACAGGCAAGTAGTTGTGTGCCCTCCCTGACCGAAACAATTTATTGTTTTCCTACAATTGAACTCAGGACCTCTCCTGCTTACCAAAAAACGGAGATGGTCTTTGATACTTAGTGAATTGTAATATTACGTTACGTCGCGTATTTAAGGATCAAGATGCATCAGATCATCCATCTTATCATTTGTGGTTCTTTCCGTACTGATTCGTGT